TTAACCTATAAACCCTCATCGGTTTGTTCTTCATGCCCAGGTAACATGTGTTTTTCCCAACTGACTGGCCTAGATCGTTAAGCACAGATCGGTATCAGCAAACCATCGTTTGGTTAGTATGGTCCACGAGGAACCACACTTCCAATGAGTTCATGTTTCACTATATTATTTCATTTTTACAAGCCTCATAATGCCTTTAAAGGCACATAAACCTAACAAAAATACGTATAGAATGGTTTTTTTCTGAGGGAGCATAAACCTAATATGAAATTTCTGTAGATTTTGCTCACTTTATCTAATAAGTAGTTTTTTAAAACCCGGTGATTTCTCCTAATCTAGATGAGAATCAATTAGAACCGAATGGTACGGTCCGGTTTAGTTCTTATATTTCATTTTAAAATTTGGGAAAAATTTATAGAGCCGAGGCTCTAAGCAATCAAATTAAAACCTACCTTGAAAATTTCATTAGAAGAGATTCTTTTCATGCTCAAATATCCTCAAATTGATCATCTCGACATCGAGATGCATGAACATGAGAGAAAAATGGATTTTAACTTTTAGAAATAGTGCATTTTGTAATGGATTTTTGGACTGTCAATTTTCAAGATTTTCAAGTTTTTCATAGATTCGTAGATCTACACTATTTTTGAAGCTTTAAACTTTATAAATAAAGATTAAAATATGTTTTAAGACATTCACAAAGATTTTCAGTTTTGAAACTACGTTTCTCGACACTATTTGAAGGTAGGCTCTAATTTGATTGTGTACGGGGAATTTATAGGAGGGAATTTTATAGGGGGAGAGGATTTATAGGGGGAATTTTATGTCAAAACATGGAAGGAACTAATAGGTGTTAGAGAGAAATGGTTTGGGTTTGATTAGGAAGTCTGACTAGGTTAGCATTTAGGAATTCTAAAGGGTATGAGATTTTTAAAAGATTAGGACCGGAGACTTGAGGCATTATGAAAGTTGGTGTAAAATTGAATGAAGTACAACTAGAGTTTATATGAAATGCATTAGATGGGTTGTAGCAAGAAAATATAATTCAAAAAATATATTTTGCACATCAAATTAATGAAGAATATAATGAACGGTTACGGCTGGCCGTTTCCAACTTTTTTAATACCTACCAGCCCTGCTATAGGTTTAGATCAGCGTTTTAAAAATCGTCGAGTCGAACCGGACT